TTTGACATACTGTTCTCTGCCTGTTAATGGGAGTGGATAAATTTGGGGACTTGTGAGGGGCAGGCCGGTCCCTCTGAGATGATGACGTTGGCTCATGTTTCTAAATATCTTTGCTGCGGCCGTGGGGAGAGGCCTGTTCAGCTGGAGAAGGCTCGGCGCTGCGCTGCCGCTGTCGCTGAGCACACCCACCATCTCTGGAGTTGATCAGGGCAGGCCACTGGGATTTTGGAAGCAGACATGGATTTGTCAATGAAAGCAGCATTCCAGAGAAAGCAAGAATGGCACCTCCCTTTACTGCTGCAAATTTATTTGAAATTCCTGTCAGCCTTTCAGGGTTTTTTGGAGACAGGTGCACCAGGAAATTAAAGCATTTCATTTCCAGGAGGGAGAGGGGTAACACATTATTTAAACTGATCTTGAAGTCCCATTTCTTCCAAGAAATCTTTCCTGATTCATTGGATAAGTGGTTATAATGAACATATCTTCCTATTAATTAACAACAGCACCCGTGGCCTCCCAAATTCATTCATTTGTCTGTGTGTAGGGGAAATAGCCCTTATTAGATATTACATTTGTTTATTCGGTGACTGTGTGCCTGTGCCTTAATCTGTTTCCAGGGAGGCAGGTGTTAGATGCCAAGTCCAGTACCTTGAGCAGACAGGGACCACTGGTGATTGGGTAGAGGAGGGTGGGGTGAGCTCCCTGAGACCTAAGTAGAGCCTGGGAACTGGCTGCCATTATAGTGTTGGCTGTCCCAGGGCTCTGGGAGTCTGCCGCAGGCCTTCCTGGCATCCATGGAGTGTCTGTGTAACTCCCCCACATGCTGGAAAGATAGGGCCCTGCGTACCTTGGTGCCATGCCAGCACGTGGGCTGCAGCAGGACAGAGGTCGTTAGGCAGCGCTGGCATCAGCTCCCGGGGATGCTGGAGAGCCTTGGGAACCCAGGCAGGTACCCAGAAGCAGAGCTGGAGTCCAGCCAAGCCCAGGTGGGCAGGCAGGACTCAAAGGTCAGATGAGGTGGTGGGGAGAATCAGAGAAGGCAGGAAAGGTCTGAGGGGTTGGTCTTGACAGTCAAAGCAAACTGAAGAACCAGCTGATCTAGAGACTTTCTAATGTCCTCTTCAACCATAATCGTAGGGGATTGACAGCTCATGAACCATCTTTCAGCCTTAGAGCTCTAGAGTCACCAGTTGTGTGTCACTAGAAGGGGCAACCCAGGAATTCCAATGTTTTCCAGCATTTCAAAAGTAACAAAATTATATCCTTTTGTACCCATGAAAGGACCACAAGAGATGATCACTTAAAGGCAGTTTGATAATGGAGTTTGGGAAGAAATATAAGAAAGGGATATTCTTTATGGTACAGAGTTCGAGGAGCTAATCAAATTCAACCCTCTCATTTTGTATATGGAGAGAATGAGGTCTGGAGAGGAATAATCATTTGCCTAAGGACACCTAGAAAATTAAAAGGTAGAACAAGAACTAAAAGACTCCAGTTTTCTAATAACTCAATTCTGAGCTTCTACTGCCTTGGCCCCCTCTCCCTTCACTGGCTCATGGACCAACATCCCTCGTAGAGAACAGGACCTGAGCTTTTGGAATATGCTGTGGCTTTCTTTTCTCTGATACACAGATTTGACCTGACAGCTTTCCCTTCTAGCAGTTTCTGATGTTGGCAGCTTGGAGTATGAACTAACTAATCCAGCAGCACTAGAGAGAAAATGCGTATTCCCTGCTGCCAGTGCACGGGGGATGGGCATGTGGGCGTGTGTGTGACTGTATTGAGAAGGAAAGTCCTGCGCTTCCTGTGGGAAGAGCACAGTCTCTGGGGAGTCTGGAAGGTGCTTACTTGAAGAAATAGGGAAAGTTATGGATTGGGACAGAAGGGGCCTGGCTATGAATCTGGCTCAACTACTGTGTGACCTTGGGCAAGTGACCTCTCTGGGCCCCAGTTTCTTATTTATAAAACAGCGGGGTGGGGAGCCTAGCTGTGCACGAAAGTACTTTCAACCCTGACACTGCAAGTCTGTGTACTTTGCCTCTTCCCATGGAGCTACTCCAGTTTCTTATAGGTGAAGGGTTCTTGGGTGAGTAGTAAGTCCCAGAAAGACTGAGCCTGTCTATCTTGCGTATCATGACCATCCAAATCTTCCTGAAGAACAGCTTCAAAAAAAAAAAAAAAGAAAGAAAGAACTGCTTCATTCATGATATGCCCCCTGCTCAAACTCTGGTGACTTCGTACTGCTTACAGGGAAAAAAATGCACCGTTCTTTTACCTGGCATTTGAACTTCTAAGACTTGGCCCACATTACCTATTCAGCTTCATTGTTTGCTGTTGCGCAGAGATACAGGTGTTCAGAGTTGGCAACCCAAGTTTTAACCCTTTCTTTACCTCTTTGCAGCTCTGTGAGTTTAGGCAAATTTTCTACCCTCTCTGGACCCCATAGGTGAAATGAAGATGATAAAGTATCATCAGTTTGATATGATGATTGAATGAAATACCATTAAAATTGAGTAAGGTAATCAATGAATTTTAACTCACTCTTTCCCTTTCCCAACTAAAGCAGCTGTTCCTTGAGGACAGGAATTGTATACTTCTTTGTGCCTAGCACAAAGCCCTCCACAGAGCAAATACTCAATAAATATTTATTTGATGGATTGATGTTTTGTCTGTCTGTTTCAGAAGTTGTCTTAGATAAGCTGAAACATTTGCTTTTCTTTTGCAGTTTGCCCAGCTGGTGGCCATCTACAAGACACTGGGAGGAGAAAAGTTCCCACTCATTGAGCAGACATACTACCCCAACCACAAAGAGATGGTAGGTAGCTGAGTGGGCATGTTAGTCTCTCTGCTGTTTTCATTCTGATCTTAGCCACACGGTGACTGTGGGACCCTGACGAGGGCCTCAGCATCTCACCCCCAAAGACTCCACTGGGTGGGACTGCAGAGCTGCTTTCTGGGGCTGGAATGGCTGGATTTTAGCTGACGGCCTCTTGTCAAATTCTGGAGACAGAATAGGGAAGGGCAGAAACAAGTGCAGTTTCATCAAGCTAGGAGAGTTTAATCAGGCCAGGAGAGTAACAAACCTCCCAAACAAACCAACAATCAGAAGATCCCACTGCTTTGGGTTCCAGCCCTAGCTCTGCCATGTGTCATTGGACAAGCTACATTTCGTCACTGTGTGCAGTTTCCAATAGGACAGTCAAGTGGGCATAATTATCCCTGACTAGGATATCTAATACGGTACGTACAACGTTTAAGTGAGACTAAGTAATACCTTCTGGGAGGGTGTGAAGTGAAGCATTCCTCAGATGTAAGATGTTGCTCCCTCGGCTTCCTGAAGATGGTGATGAGGCTGAGTTAACACTATGCCTTCTCTGAGTCCATCGCAGGATATCAGAAGGAGCAGAGAGATGAGATGGTTGGTTGGTTGGTAAGGAGGCTGTTGCTAATGTTTTTCCTCCTTGGCAACCTAGAGCTCCAGTTGCCTCTTCCTCCCTGTCCCTACACCCTCTGCCCCAGGCTGGTGTGATCCGTGGGTGATCCTGCTTAACCCACCAATGCAGACTCAGCGCGACATGGAACAGAGATAGTATTTTCCCCCTCCCACTCGCTTTGCCAAAAGGGATCTCCACTTGCACCATTTCTCAGAATCAAGAGGCTTCTTCTAACACATGGTGTATGGCCCTGCTTACCAGCAGACCACATGTGGAAAAAACTGTGGGCCTTGAAAAGAACTTTCTCTGTCATCTTTGCCAGAGCTTCCCCAGGGAGGAGCTCTGGAATTTTAAACCCTTGTCCCTAATCACTCCTAGAGGCCAACATCAGGACTTGCCCTTTTGTGGCAAGCCAGGAAGCCCGGCAGAGGCTGAGGAAGCCTCAGCTCTGGTGGCCGCAGATCTCAGGGAGCCCAGGGCGTGGTGGTGAGGGCCAAGCAGAAGGGTGCAGGGCTCTCTGAGGCTGCTTCCTGCTGTGACATCTAGCAGGGCTGACCACTGAAAAAAGTGGCAATAATTGCAAAGTACATTCCCCATCTACCGTCCTTCTCCCCCAGGGGCCCTTGTGTTATTTCTTTTCTGTCCCCTATCCTGAAATTTGCCCTCAAGAGAGGACCGCTGCTCTGAGGTGTCAAAAGTTGAAGGGGGACTTCAACTCTCCAAGAGAAAGGCTTTTTCGGCTTAAAAAATAAGTTCTAAAGCAGAAATTAAGACATTAGTAATCTAAAGGAGGCAGAAGAGAAGGCTTACGGACATCAGTTGAGGGCATGAGGATAGTTAACCTGGAGAGGCAGTACCTATTCTTAGACAGTAAGTTCTTGTTCTTGTCCCAGGAGGCACGCCAACTGGGCCGACGCTCTGCCAGCCATGGGGAGGGGCTTAGGCCATTCTAACTCTCACACTGAAGGATCCCAGTCCCCCAGGACACTCCCCCAAATGGATGAAAGTGTGTCAGAGGGTTAGGATAAGTTGAGACAGGAGGAATAGAGCCATAGTATGTTGTCTTTTCAGTCCTGCCAATCAGCCTGTTTGTGACACTGTCAACCCATCTTCTGGTATTATACATCACAAGGATATACCATCTCATATGCATAACATTCGCCATTTCTCCCCCTATCAGATCAGTTAAGGCAAAGGAAAAACATATTTTCCTGGGGATAAATGAGAATAGTCCTGGCTTTGGAAAACAAACTAAGCCAGAATAAACGCTTTCAGTAACATGTACAAGGCTACACTAATGGGGTTTGGGAAGCAGAGGAGATGGGTTGAAGGCAAGATAGAAAAGTCATGTTGCCTTCCCTAGCCCTTGACAGATTCTGGGCTGGGGTCTTGGACACAAGCTGTAACATGCCCTGTCCTTGCCCTGCCACTGGCCAGACTGTCCACTTAGCACTTCCCATTGGCTGGCAGCAGTGGGGAAGGTGGTGATGGCCAGAGCTCTGCAGGGAAGGAGAACTGGCGTGATCTCCAGGACTCTTGAAGGGATGTGGTGGTCACTGGTCCTTACTAGGGTTGGATGATGTCAACAAACTCCTTCCTCAGGGGCAGGTGGCCCCGGTACCAGCTGCAGGTGCCATCAACGTGCTTCATGCAGACATAATGCTGGGCCTGGTACCCGTAGAGCTTTCGTTCCAACAGCCAGTCTGTCCAGAGGCACTCGTTGGGGGCTGAGATGGTACAGGGCACTGCATAGCAGGTGGTGATCTAGAGTCATGGCCACACAACATCAAAGTGAGTAGGGTGTCCTTTTTCCGTTGCTGCCTTTCAGACTCCTACATATCCTTATAGCCCATCTCAGATGCACCCTGTCTTATGAAACCTTTGCTAGCTCCCAGCCCCCCCTCCGAATTCCCCCTCCCCTGTGCCCTCACGTGCAGTATTGCCTCTCTAATGGCATCTCTGGAGTCAGACAGCCCTGAGGGTCCTTACTCTACTACTGACCTTGAGCAAGTCACTTCACTTCCTAGAGCTTTAATTTCTTCACCTTAAAATGGAAATCTCAATTCTTCATGAATTTGTTATGGAGACTAAATTAAATATTTAAAATAAATTGACTATTACAGGGTCTTGCAAAGAGTAGATTCTCTTTAAATGGTGGCTGTATTACTGTCATCTCAGTTGGCCTTATATGATGGCCACCTTCCCAGGCAAAATATCAGTACTTTGAGATCAGGCCCTGTGGACTGAGTTGCTTTCCCATCCCTAACTTCATACAGTGCCTGATCCATGGCAGATCTCAGGTATCGTATAGTAAATGAATAAATGCATGCATGAATGAAGGAGGACATAAAGCGAGAGGCCAAAAGGCTCATGACCCTTCTCCCATCCCGCCCACCCCACCCCAAGACCTTGGAAATGGACATTCCCTTACTTGGCAGCCACAGTTGAGATGGTAGTGATGATTCAGACTCTCCCTCTGCAGCACGGACAGGTCCTCCCAGGGCTCGATGTAGTTGCACAGATGGATGAAGACTTTTCCATCGCTGAGGACCTGACCTCCAAGGGGAGAGGGAGGAGAGTCTAGCATCAAAAGTCTGCTTCTGGAGCTCCAGGGGCCTTGGTCCAGAACTGCAGCCTCTCTAATAGCGACGTGGGGCTCAACAAAAGGACCAGAAAAACCCCTATAATCTTTATAGCAAAGAGATTGACAGATTATGTTTGTGCGAGGCAGAGTCGTGGGACCCAGTGCCGGCTGTTTCCTTTAGCACGGTGCAGAAAGAACATGGGCTTCAGAGTCAGACTCTGGGTGGGCCTCCTTCCTTTCTGTCACTTACTAGCCATATGATCTTAAGAGGGTCACGTAACTTCTCAGCTGGAAGACCAGAATAATAAGGTTGTTGCCAGGATTAAATGAGAGAGTATCTATAAAGTTCCCAGCACAGTTGTGGGCCCACAGATGTTCCATAAATAAGAGAACCCTTTTCCTTCCCAACCCTTCCCAGTATCTACAAAGGCCAATCTCCTGCCCTGTGGATACTTGGTGAGTCTTTTCCCTTCCCCATGGGAAAGTTGCCCTTCCTCACTTATGAAACTCCCTTTCACCTTTCAAAGACCTTTCCAGTACCACCTCATCCTCGAAGCCATCCCTGACCACGTTAGCCCACACCTTGTTTAGAACCTTGGTCACTCAATCATTTACTCACTGAGTAACTATTATGATTTAATGCCAGGAATACAGAAATACATAGGACAGGATCTCTGCCCCCAAGGAGCTTAAAAATGAGTGGAATGGACAGAAGTAGGCAAAAATTGCACTACTGTGTGATTATACACAAAGTGCAGTATGAGAACAAAGGAAAGCAAATTATCTCTGTCTATGGAGAGGATGTGGGGCAAGGAAGGTGTCTCAGAGGAAAGGTGCTTGCACGGGGCCTTGAAGGGATGGTAGAGGTTCACCTGCCAAGCAAGTTGGGGGAAGGGCCTCTGGTCATTGGGACCACTCTGTGCAAGGACACAGCTCAGCAGCATATGTTCTGCAACTGCAAGTAGTTTAGTTCAGCTCGGGGGGCAGTGAGAGGCTGGGAACTGTCACTGACAAATGGCAGAAGACAAAGCTGGAGAAGGCAGCAGTGTTCTGGTCACAAAGGGCTTTCAACATCAGGCAGAAGAGCTTATGCCTTCTCCTAAAAGGCCTGGGCACCATGGATGACTTTTCAGTAGACTTGGGTTTTGTCATTTATCCCCACCCTCAGCCAGACTTGACCTCCCGGAGGGCAGAAAGCACATCTCCTACTTCCCCTAATGGACCCATCGCAGTGCCTAGCAGAGAGCCAAGTGCACAGAGAGCAGGTGCTTACTGAAAGGAGGTGGGATAACGGGATAAAAGAGCTTGACAAGGCCTGGTCTGCCAGTCCCGGGAACGGGAGTGCTCGGTGGCACGCCCTGCCTCTGCCTCTCCCATGCAGGAGTTTGCCAGCTCGCATGATTCCATCTCCTTAGAGCTGCGAAACCCCATAACTGTGGCCTCCAGTGCCTGAGACTTGTCAAGAGCCACGTCTGCACTGTGAACTCTTTGAGGACTGTGGCTTGTTGCTGAATCTCCAGTCTCCTGCCCCAAGCTTGGCAATGAGTAGGTGATCATTGCTGAATGGATGGACAGAGAGTGGAATTCCTTCACCTGTTCTCCCCACCTACTGGGCTTTTTCTTTTCCTTGCTTTCTTTCTAAATATTTTACATCTATTAGGGCCAGTGTAGAGCCCACTTATACAATGAAGCTTCCCTGATTGTTTACAACCATCGAATACCTCCTTTCCCTGAACTCCAAAATAATTTAGTGTCGTATTCGTTTATGGAGTCATATTCTTGTGCGGTTCTTTAGCTGTTCTATCCCAACGAATTCAGTGTGGAAGAGACCTGCCTGGGCCCAAGAGCATAGAGACAGAGCTGTGTTAGACTCAAGGCCCCTGTGCAAAGGGCAGAGCTGAACTCATAGGCAGCAGTTATAGAGGGGCAGATTTTGGCTCAAGATGCCAAAGATCTAACGCCAATTTAAGGTGTTTGAAAATGGAACCAGCTGCCCTAGACTAAGGGAGCAACCTCTTCTTAAAATAGTGAAGCAGTGGCCAAGATCACCGTAATGAGGACTCCTGTATTGAATGGAACGTTACCAAGGCTCCTCCCAACTCAGAGGCTCTGTTTCACTCACACAGCCCTGTTTTCTGCCGAAGAACGTGCCGCCTGGCTCGGCCTGCTGCCCAAGGAAGGCCTTGGCTCCTTTCTCACTACCTTCCTGAAGACAGACTCTATTAAGGCCAGTTGCTGGTCTTTAACTTACCAGTCAAGAGATACTGCTTCTGGCTGTTGGCTTCTAGTTTCACACCACAGAGGGAAGAGTCAAAAGGAGTATAAATATACTGAACATCCTTGACTTTCTCAAACCCTTTGAACATCTGAGAGGCAATTACAAAAAAGCAGTATTGGGTCAGTGAGTGTTCTTTGTATATTAAGCAAAAACTTCCCATTTCTCAGCCTAAAAATTTAAGCAAAAGTCTAGTTCAGGATTTGGTGCACACAGATGGCCTTACTGGGTTATTTCTCTCTTTACAAAAACAAAATTTAAACCTTGGTTTATTCCAGTGAGAGGGGAGGTACCTCCAGTGGCCCCCATGCATAGGCAGCTACAGGACCAGATGGATGCTGAGGCCCTGCCCTGTCCCTTGGATGCTGTGGGCCTTGCCCCCAAATCTCACCCAGGCCCACTTCAGCATCTAGACCCCAGGATCACCGAGCCAGGTCGCCTGAAATCTGCCAGCCCTACCCCTCCCAGACCCCACTCCCTCTACCAGCCCACGGGGGTAAACACCCTCTCCTGCTCTCATGTACCTTAATCTGTTTGATTCCATACTGGAGCATTTTTTGAGTGTCAGCAGGATCTGCACTGGCAGGAACTACCTTCTCACTGGAGATTTTGGCCCGAATCACTACATAGGAAGAGAAAAGAAGGAAACTTCAGCAGCCTGGGGGGAGCAATGCATCTGAGATCTGGATGATCTGGGGCCCCTGGAGAATTTCGCAGGGGAATTCTTGGTTGAGGTGTGAGCAGTGCAATGTACATGAGAATGGAGACCTGGAAACTCCTCCTCTGCAGTGGCTGCAAGTTCCAAACCCCTCTGGCCTCTTAGGTCCTACAACCTCCATGCTCTTTCTGCCCTTTGAACCTTCAGTGTGGAGAGCCCTGGTTCTCCGCAGCCCTGGGTGCAGTGGGGCACAGGGTGGGAGTCAGGGTAGAGGAGGGAGGAGGGGCCCCTGGAGGGCAGCTGATGTGAGGTCCATCTATTGCTGGAGCTCTAGGCCTCAGCGCTCTCCCAGAGTGCATATTAGTAAATGTGTATTGAATTCTTAAATGTTCTGACCCTGCACTGAGGTAGTCCATCTCTTGCCGCTTGGGCATTAATCAAAAACTGTTTATGAAGTTCTTCCTCTGTGCCTGGCCTTGCACTAGCCCTAGTCCCACGGATGTGATTAAGACACGGTCCCCATCCCGTAGAACTCTTGGTCTAGTGCAAGGCACACTTATGAAGAACGACAGCACAAGCCAGCAAGAGCGCAGACACGTTTGAGACGCTGTGCTGGCACCAAGGAGTCAGGAAGCCTCCAGGGCAGAGGGTGCGTTAGACCTTGAAGGGCGAATGGGAGTTTGCCAGGAATTTAAGGGTATGGGGTAAGGCCATTTCAGGCAGAGGGAAAAGAAATGGCAAAAGGTGTGTGTTGGGGTTGGGGGATGGTGGCAACGGACGGACAGGGTGGTTATAATGCAAACCCTCTCCCCGCCCCTCCCCCACTGCCAATCCAGGAGCTCAGAATAACCACCAGATCGCTCGGATGACACTCCGTAGTTGCGGTATGGCGGGGGTGAGGGAGTCGCTGTGGAGGTCCCAGATACAATCTTTATTTCCCTACGAAGCAGTCACGTTGTGCGCTTGCAAGGTTGCTATGGCGCCGCCCTTCCATCAGCCCCAGCAGGAGAAAACGGGTGCGAGATTTGAGCTCCTTCCTTTCCCTGGCGACTCCTGTTCTGCAGCTGGCCAGATACCAGTGCCCCCCCACCACCCCCTGCGGCGGGCCTCGCGGGCCTCGCGGACCTCGGACTCACCCAGCGCCGAGCGACAGACGTGCTGCTGGGGGTGCACGGGGGCGCAGCTGCACGCCTCGCTCAGCCCCGGGGGCCGCAGCAGCGCCAGCAGCCGCAGCAACAGCGCCCAGCTCGGCGCGGTCCGGGGGCTCCCGGGCATGACACTGCAGAGCCCCGACCGAGCCTGTGGGGTCTGTCGGACCAAAGAGCCCCTCCAGCACTCCTTCAGAACGCGTCGCGCCCCTCGCCCAGGCTTTATGAGGTGGCCCTCGGGCCAATCCCGCCCCATGGGCTCCGCCCTCTCTTGGCTGGAGGCCACCCACGGCTGCAGGACCCGGGGCCCTCCAGACCGCAAGACTCAGTGAGATGAAGAGGGAAGCCAGGACTGAGTCCCCCAGCCTCCACATCCCTGCCCAGAAAACTAAGCTGTCTGGGAGTAGAGGGCAAGGCACTGGCAGCGGGGATGGTGTCAGGGGCAGAAAGAGCGACAGAGACAAGTGCATGAGGGCGGAAAGACTGAGGGACTGTGGTTTAGGCAGAAGGAGCAGGAGGGAGGAGAGGCAGAGACAGAAAGAGTGAGATGGGCAGAGTGGAGAGAGGCAGACAGAATTACAACAGGCAAAAGAGACAGTGACAGAGAAGGACGGACCCCTTGCTGAGCAGCACACTAGGAGTGAGACAAGCTACTCAGAGCTTCTTTCAGCTACAGGAAGTGTTTTCAATGCCCTATTTATGAGGCTCCAAAGCAACAGCAAACAGTAATGGAATAGGACAGAGAAAGTTGGGGTGTGTGTGTGTCTTGGCTCTGCTCCGTCTGCTGGGGGTGGGGAGAGATGTCAGAGAAGCAGCCGGTGCTTTAGAAACCCTTTCCCACACCCAGTGCTGCAGGCTGCAGATAGCTGGGGGCAGCGCTCTTGGTGGGGACTCCAAACTCAGCGTGTCCGTCACTTAAGGCAAAGCTCAGACCTCAAAGCCCTCTCCAGGCCCTAGGCTACACTGATTCTTAGTCTGTGCCCCCGCTCACTAGACTATGTCATGTTATAGAAGGTGGGGTACCTTAGAAAACAAAGAAGCAAGGCACTTGGGGTCACTGCGCTGTGACCAGAGCCTTGTCTACTGTTTGACAGAGCATAGTCTCCAAATCCCAAATCTCCATGGGATTATTGCTGTGGGATGTCTTCACCTCGTGCTGAACTGGAAAGTAGGAGACTGTATTCTGGTTCTGTCAGTAGGTAGCTTTGTGACCTTTGCCTCTCAGGGCCTCAGTTTCTTCATAAAATAGGGTTGAAACTACATAATTTCTGAAGCCCTTTGAAGCTCTCCCCCCCAGCCTTGACTGGCCTAAGCCAGAAATGCTGAAATCCTCAGGCCAGACACTCCCAGTTCTGGTCATACTAGACTCCCACGGGAGTCTGACTTTTCATCAGGGTCGACATTATTTTCTTCAAAGGACACCTTTTCATTTTGATGGTGGTAGCGATGTTTGAAAAGAAGGAAATTGAAAGAGAGCTGAGTCTGACTGAGAAAGATGAGATGTCCAGGTTGGTGGCCCAGTTGGTTTTTCCTATAATGTCCAGACCAAGATAGAGTCTGATGTATTATCTGAAGAGATCTTGAAAACCATCCAGTTCGATCTCTTCATCCGACAGACGTGAAGGCCCAGGCGCAGCGAGACAGAGGGACTCGCAGAAAGTTAGCGGCAGAGAAAACTAGAACACGAGTCCCTTGACTTCCACTCCAGTTCTCCTCCCTCTTCACTCAGCAATATTACTTCTTCCCTCACCATTTTGTAACAGCTTGAAATCCTGCCCTTGGAGGATAATTCTTCTTTTAAGTTTTTATTGTTCCTCTGTTAAAATATGGCGCCCTCAAGGTACACCTCTTTAAGGATCTCTTTCCCATGATAAACATATTGAATTCTTGTATCAGCTCTGATACAAGAATAGGACAGAAATAGGCCTTAGCATACAAAGCTTTGTTTGGTGGTGAGTTTGGGGCGTTGGTAAACAGGGAAGAATCATTATAGGAAAGATGGACCTTTGAAGGGGGTGGGTACTAAGAGGTACATGACAAAAGGGACGTTAAGATTCCAAAAATGTATGTGAAAAAATTTGGATTTATTAAGATACAATTCACATACAGTGAAATTCATCCTTTCAGAGATACATTTTTTTTTTTAATTCTCTTTGCCTGAGGACCATTCGTGCCCAGGGTTTGTCTAATGCAGAGCAGGTTGAAGCAGTGAAGGTTAAAGATGTAAGAGTGTCCCTAATAGGAGAACGGAGTGCTTGTAGCTCTGTCACTCCTATGCTATGTGACTTTGGGAAAGCCACTGTCATTCTAGGGGCCTCAGTTTTTTTTAATTTGTAAAGCAAGTAGATTGTACTAGTTCTTTAAAAGACTTTCCCAAGGGTGTTCCCAAGAAAAGTATCTGTAGGATTCCACAGAGAGACACATACTAACCAATTCCTTCCTTGCTCCTCTGCTTTCAGCTGACACTGCCCACATTCCCTGTGGTGGTGAAGATCGGCCATGCTCACTCCGGCATGGGCAAGGTGAGGCAGAGGGGCCTGCTGCGCTTTGGGGTTGAGCCAAGAAGGGCATATTTCAGATAGCCCATGTGCAGACTGTTCTGCCTCTGTTACTGATAAATTCTTTCCAAGGAGAAGATGATTTGGCCCCTCTGAAGCCATGAGAATTGCCAACCAGATCTCTTTCAACAAGCAGAGTACAGGCCACCTGCTTGGTTCTTTGTAGCAAGTGTAGCCCCTGAGCCCTGGGAAGGGAAACTAGGGAGATGAGTCCTCCTGGGGAGATGTGGCACCCAGGTTTGCATTTGGATTGGAAACATCTCGATGGATTTGCAGGCTCAGGGCCTTTGTGACTTCTCAGTGTGTGTATGTGTACGTCTCTCTTTCTGCCTCTCTACCTTGCTCTAACATTAGGTCAAAGTGGAAAACCACTACGACTTCCAGGACATTGCTAGCGTGGTGGCCCTCACCCAGACTTACGCCACGGCAGAGCCTTTCATTGACGCCAAGTATGACATCCGGGTCCAGAAGATTGGCAACAACTACAAGGCTTACATGTGAGTAGGGGGTGGGGTCCCAGCAGATACTCTCCACTTCCTCCTCAGCCTCCAGGTAGCAACCAGTTCTCGGATTAACCGTGCCAGGCCCGTGAGGCAGAAGTCAGGCAGAGGGTGCCACCTCAGTCAGGAATTCTTAACCCAGGTTCCCGTTAAGTGGGAGGAGGGGGTCTACGAACTAAGATGAGAAATAATATCAGTATTCATTTTCACTACCCTCTAAGTGAAATGTCACCTTCTCTTCAGTTGTGAACAGAGACAGCAGACTGCAGTAGCTGTAGCAGCAGCACATGGGACTTTGTCACCTACGGTAACCACAGATATTCTTGTGTCACACTACAATGATCTCTAAATACCACTCATTCTCCTCACTACTTAAAAATCATGGCAGTTATTAGATCTGCCACTACTCCTGTTATTTAGAAAGAAACATATTTTACTAAGCACAGATTCATTTAATATTTTTGATGACTCTAATTGGGCACCCCTGTGATACTATGTGCTTTTATACACTTATACATCTTACATGCTGTGTGCATCGGGAGGAGTCCATAGGCTTCACCAGATTTCCAAGCACAGAAAAAGTTGAGAAACTCCTGGTGAGAATATGCAACCCTGACGATGCTACAGAGCATCCAAAGCCTGGTGGCTATGAAGGTGACGACTGCGCCACGTAACTGTGTCCGGCTGCCCGAACGGGAGGTCGAAGGTTTCCGCCACTAGAATGTAGTGAAAGAAAGTTTCAAGACTACTTGACCTCGAGTCCATAATATATGTAAGAATGCAAATGGTTTATAATTCCAATTTTGGATATATTGATACCCGACTTTTTTTTTTAAGTTGTATTTTCTTTACAAAGAAAGAACATTAATATATGAATTTGACCTTTGCCACTCAGGACTTTAGCAGCCGTCAAGGTTGAGCAACCTTCCCTTCTCCTTACTCGCCCGTTTCTGTTTTTCTTCCCTCATCTCTCTTTTCAGGACTTATGCTCCCCACCCCTGGAGTTACGTAGGTGCCCCCTCTCTGCGCTCCTTTCCCACACCACCCCGCACACACCTCTAGTGTGCCCTTTCTGCACGTGTGTTTTGTGTCGCTCTTGTCCTCCAGACTCTGAGCTCCTTGTGAGCAAGAATCGTGGAATCGTCCCCTGCAGCTTCACTACCTTTTATAGCAGCAGGCACATAGTAGGTGCCCAGTAAGTATTCAGGGAAGAACCTTTGTAGAGAACTGAGGCATAAAATTTTTTTTATCTTTATTCACTAGATTCCTACTTTTTAAAAAAAAAAAATAGGCTTTTTTAGTGCAGTTTTTTTTAAAATTTATTTTTTATTTCAAAACGTTAAGGGGCCTACTTTTAAAAAGTTTATAATTTTATATTTGTAGTCTTCCTGCTTCCAGAAAAGAATTTAGGATTGCTTTAAAAATATGCACAAAGTAAGACAGAATAATTTAAGAACCATTATAAAAACCCACTACAAGAAAGCAGAAACATAAATTTTTTCAGACACCCGGGAAAGCAGATTTCCTATTTTTTAATTTTAAAGTCACCTAAATAAACATAAAACATTTATTGATGACTACAGTGGAGTAAGAGGGTCTTGATCCTTAAAAGGAGATGATACCAGGCCAGAGGTGGTAGCTGACACCTGTAATCCTAGCACCCTGGAGGTCCAGGTGGGAGGATTGCCTGGGTCCAGGAGTTCGACACCAGCCTGAGCAAGAGCAAGACTCTGTCTCTACAAAAAATAGAAAAATTAGCCAGGTATGGTGGTGCACAGCTGTAGTCCCAGCTACTCGGGAGGTGGAGGCAGGAGGATCGCTTGAGCCCAGGAGTTTGAGGTTGCTGTGAGCTATGACGATGCTGCTGCGCTCTAGCTCAGGTGACAGAGCAAGACCTAGGGTTTCCAAAAAAAAAAAATTTTTAAATGAAGCATAAGAAAAGAGAATTCCAAAACATTGATGAAGGGTGGGTGACCAGGGAAGCTTTAGATAACATTTACCTAACTTTTTTATTTGCAAGGGATCATTAGTTATTTGGAGGAATGTTTAGGCCCTCTCAGCTTTTCTCTACCACACCTCTTCCTTGAACCTATGGCTATGTCCCGGCTCTCAGTAGAAGGGACTGACTTA